ACTTTATAATGAACTAGTGAGAATGGGGATTTGGTAATGTAAAATATTTTTGCAAAAAATTTATTTTAACAATGTATTAGCCCGTTGATCCGTCTATATTAATATAAATAACATTTTAACATATATATTTATTTTTTAATACAAAAAAAATAAGAATTTTACATATTTTGGTTCATTATAATCCTCAAATATTATTTTATTTAAAAATTTATTGTCGTATAATGTCAACATTATTTATAACATTTATAGAAGTAATATTTCTATTTTATATAATATAATGGTAAATATTTAATATTTGTTGATGTGATTAATTAAAAAATATATAAGTAAATCTAATGTTTGTTAGGAATGTGATAGATCTCGATATTTTAAGTATAAATATATGATATATATATGTACAAATATATGATATGAATATCCTGAGATACAAAAGAAATTTTTATGTAATTTATTATTTAATTAATCATCCACAATTACTTAAATTGTATCTTTAAAACATAACATAAAATGTTTAAATAGTTTCCATAATTAGTAAACAATATTTTTTGGTGGGAAATAGTTACTATTTAAAAAATAATCAAACCTTTATATATATATATAAACTTGGTGAACCTTTTTTTTTGTTATTTTTTTTATTTTTTTACATATGCATTATGGTGTTTGTCATTGGTGTTTATGTTCTTCAGCCTTGGTATCATTTTTAGGAGTTCAACCTAAATTTTCACTCACTAAACTTATTTTTCACTCATTTATCTTTTACTTTTCTACAACAATCTGATTACAGTTGTGTTGGTTGAAAAAATTATACTAAAATTATTAGAAAATGTACTCGAGAAGTTTTCTTATTTAAAATTTAAATACCTTTTAGAAATTTGCATTATTATTTAAATTTAAAATGAGACTTTTCATTTCTTATGTTTTGTCTTGCTTATATTATAATACTTTTTCTAATTCATATTTGGATAACTTTTTCATTGATATAAAATTTGTTAATTTTAGTTAGTATTAATAGATGAATAATTTTATTTTAATTAAATTATTTATTAATTTTATATATGCAATGATGTGTTGGAATAGCTGTTTACCTGCAAAACAAAGGTTATGAGGAGCTCCTGTCGTCAGCACTTTGACGCGTCAGTGATCGAAAAGGGGAAGATGATGAATGCGTCAAGAACATTATGAGAGAGTAGAATATTTCAGTTGTACTTCATCCCCTTTATATAGGAAGAATAACTTAGTGCCCAAGATTAGCTTCTCGGGCTGCCCAACTGCCCCCGATTAATTTGTTCGTAGCTGCTCAACTGCCCAAGGTTAATCCTTACCTGCTTTGTATTTATCCTTATCTTGATTTAATTCTTATCTTAATTTGATTCATCATTATCCTAATTAGGTCCATGTCTACTCAGGTCACTTTGTGTTCGCAGATCCTTCCTTACTTAGGTCAACATATTGTGTGCTAATAGGTCTCAGATATTTAGTTCGTCCTGCTGAGTGTTAATAGGTCCCAAGTATTTAGGTTGGGCATTCTCCGCGTTATCTTTCCCTTGTCCAAGTTCGATAGGTCGTTCACCCTGGTGCCGAGGTGTATGACCTATTTAGCTATTACTTTTCCCCCTTAGCATTAGGTCGCCATGGTGGTTCAACCAACATGCTCAACATTCTCTAGCTTAATTCGATTTAGCCGAGCTATGACTATATTATGCAACATGGACAACGAATCGAAGATCGTCAAAATACGATTAAGTTGATGTATTATGTATGAAAAGTACAAAAATTATTAACTTTGAAACATATTTGTAATTTAAATTAATCAAGTATTTTATTTCATAATTATAAAAGTCATAATATGTATCGACAGAATCCAAATTTAACTCATAATTCGACAAATAGAATTACTATAGAATTCAAATCTACATGGACTACTTCGAAACACCATAATTCGACACATAAATTTGCAGAGCACCACAAGTTGACGTGGAAGATCGATCGACATGGACGACTCTGAATCATTAAAATTGGACACATTAAATTACGAAGCACAAAAAGACCGAAAAAGTCGACAAATAGGATCGGGATATTTATGTATTTTTTACGTACAATTTCTTAATTTTTATGTTCATGGGTGCGAGCTCATCCATGTGCATCTGAATATTTGTTGACTGGCATTCTAAATTACACATATTCCATTGTTTCATTGTTTCTAGAGTAGCATGATTGAACTCCATAGATCATGCTTTAGATATTCCATTATTGCTTTTGCATTATTGTTGTTGGTTGGAGAATCTTAAAAAGCAAAGCTGACTTAATAATAATTTCGTTATTTTTCTTTTGGAAATTGAAGAAAATGCTAAAGCTTAGGCAATCCCGTGATATCGGGGCTCTCTTGATTTTATTTTATCATTTTATCTATTTTCCTTTGACCTTTTCTGCATTTGAAAACAACAGTTTCCTGTGTCGGCTTATTGTGTCATTCATAGTTATCTACAAATAGTATATTGACACGTGTTTTGCAATAAATACACATTGAACACTTGTCAATACATACCGTTATAAATAACTCTATAAATGAGTCATCCGATGACTCCATAGAATCTATGTTCGAAAACATATAATTAATTATTTTTCCTCAATCATTTCTCATGCATTCTCACCATTTTTCTTCACCATTTTTTATTATTTGGATTTTAAAATGTCAATCTAATGCGCCGCTCATGTCAATGGCGGCGACTGCGGCTCGACTTAGATCATATTAGGCAAAAATGCACAAAAGGAAGTGCGGTTCTAATTGGATTTTTGTGTAAAAGTAAAGCTAACAATTATGCATATATGTTTGTGATTCATAAATAATAAAAAAAAATCCGGCATATACAATTGGAAACCCTGATTATGGATCTCTTCATTAAAGGGATTATAACGAATTAATGATGATGTAATACAAATGGTAAAGAAAAACCAAGCTAAGAAGGAAAAAGGACATCGATTTTGCCGTAGATGATATCGGCAAGGATAATCGAATTATCTAAAAGTGTATATTGAGAGTATAAGTTGTGTATGTGGTGTTTTCACGTGACCGAGTTCTTGTGAGAGTAATGAGTTGTCGTATTTATACACGAGAAAGGTAAAAGTGCAATAATGCACTATGCCAGTAAGGGGGCGTAGGTGCAAATTCTCGACTTTTAATGATTGGACAGTTTGGGCGACTGCTTTATCAGTAAGCTTTAATTGTTCTGCGTTAACATAAAGGAGATTGTCATGCTTCTAGGAGAAGATACAAGGTTGAATCAACATTTTTATGAATCGACTGTCGGACAAAGAGATTGGCATGTCTTGCCAGCGATGCTTCCAGGGCCGCTCCTTTCTCGAGTTTGCAAGCCCAATAGGACAAGACTTTTTCTCCCGGCCTTAATGTGCCGATTTAGAGTCCATATAAATTTTTATATACAACAAGGAGTCCCCTAGGTTCTCAGGAGTGGAGTGGGATTATATACAACAAGGAATCACTTTTCGTTGAGCGACCTTCTACGATTCGGGGGCGGGTCTAGCTTTGGGGTCGCCTCCATCCATGGTAAGATATTTCATCCTTCTGACTTATGGGCTTCTCGTGGTTCAACTCGGATATCAATAAGTGAGATTATAAGATTTATATCAAATTGTAAATCTATTACTAAAAAAATAAATGAAATAAAATAAAGGAACAAAATTGACCAACGGTTGCCTAAATTGAAAATTATATATATATATAAATAAATAAAATCAAATAAAGGAACAAAATTGCAATTTTCTCAAAAATTAATAGTAAAGAACAGTTAGAATGCATTGTTCTGAAAACCGGATCGGACCGGCCAGTTCAACCGGTTGGACCGAGAACCAGTCATTTCTGACCGGTTTGAGCCTTTAAACCGCTATGCAGGACAACTGGTCAAGAACTCAATCGGTGAACCGGGACAGTTCGAATGGTTCACCTGTTCAAACTTATGAATTTGAATTTGGTAGATTGTGAAGTGGTTTAAATAACACACCGTTTTTACTTGTATTTTCTATGTGGGATATGTTTACTTGGGGCCATTTATTTGAAATGGATTATATATTGGGTTATATTTATTCCCAATTTTATTTTATTTTATTTTTTTTTTGTAAAAAAAAAAACAATTTAGTTTATTATTGTTTGTTATGCACATTAATTTTATATTTTAAATTTAATCAATAATAAAAAATTTAAATTTGTTATTAAAAAAATTGGGTTGTTTCTATTCTATTTGTTTTGTATATTAAATATAGATTAGAATTTTAAATATAAACTAAAATAAGAAAAAAAAAAAGATAACAACATTATTCAACATTGTCGTTTGTATATATTATTGACCTCTTATTTAGAGAAATTTCATATACCATAAAATTAATAATAAAATATTTATAATTATATATTACACATATAAAATAAATAAAAAATTATGTATCAATTAAAACGGTTCTGCTGAACTATTCAACCAATAGCTTCACCGGTTATAGAAACCATTTGGTTTTCATAACCATGTTAGAATGTGGCCTGTGGCCTATAAATGCAAACTGAAGCAAAGAAATAGAGGGGAGGAGTGGCAACCGCCAAGTGACGGCAGGAGGGTAAATCCCCTTTTGTGGACTCCTTTTAAATCTATCACCTTAGATTCAAGAACCCAACCGGATTTCGAAAATGGGTGTTGAAATTCCTCGGAAAGTCGGCGGACAAAATGGCGTTACATCTGTCGCTGCCGCGCCGGTGATAGTGGGGCTACAGCCGTCGGCTCTGGTGGACCACGTGGCAAGAGTCGATTGGCCCCTCCTCTCCCGTATCCCAGGGGAGCCTGGCGGCTCCTTCCCTGTACACACTCCTCACATACTGCGTGTGTTGTGTGCGCGCTTTTGTTTGTCTAATTGGTGGTGCCTTTTTCTTTTTATCTGTTTATTTTTTTTTTTTCTGCTGAATCTTGGTGGTTTTAGTAGAGTATGGGGGCAGATTTTTGGTGGATAAACTCATAGTCACACTCATGTTATTGTTGAATTTATTTGTTTCTTGCTTTGTGTGTGTTTCTTGTTCTTCAGATTGTATAAAGTTGGAGAAATGCTACGTTACTGAATCATTCCGTCGGGTTTGTAACCATTAGATCATCATGTAACTCGGAGATAGTTTATCTAACGGTTACAAACCCCGACGGGATAGTTCCGTAACGGACCGTAGCATCTCCCTAAAGTTGGAATCTTTCTTTTTATTTGGGCGTCTGATTAGAGAATTTGCAAATAAGATGATGTTTTTGGCTTGTTACCAAGAACTTGTTTTTAGTGTGTTTACCTGAATTAGTATGTTTTTAGTGTTTTGTGTTTTAAGAGACGTTTTTGCCCTACTCCAGTACAGTTCTGTGTTTGTTGTGCATTTAATATTAAGAAGCATATCAGACATTTCATGGATTCTTTTGAGATCCATATGCCTCATAATTATCTTTAAATCTCTTGAAACAATATGTTACTGCGATATCTCTGTTCTTTTCCATGAAGTGTACATTAACAAGTTGTCCCTTGTTTCAACTCTAATGAGTGCTTTTGTATTGCTTATGGCTTTGGCTTTTTATAGGTGGCTACCGATGAGCTGAAGTTCATCTTGAGAGAGCTTCACGCTCATATCAATGATTCTCCAGATAACACGTCTCCATTGAAGACCATAGCAGGTGGGAGTGTAGCTAACACAATTCGAGGCCTATCAGCGGGTTTTGGAATCACTTGTGGGATAATTGGGGCTTGTGGGGATGATGATCAGGGAAGATTGTTTATAAATAACATGAACTTCCACAAAGTTGATCTTTCGAGATTGAGGTTGAAAAGTGGGCATACAGCACAGGTGGGTCTTTCTTGCTCGTTCCAGCCCAGGTTATAGTGTTTGCAGTTTTTGATATAGTAATTTAACTGGTCTTTGACTTAATTTTGAAAATTTTGATACAGTGTGTGTGCTTAGTTGATGAGTTGGGCAATAGAACAATGAGGCCATGTCTCTCAAGTGCCGTAAAAGTTCAGGTGATTCGACTTGAATTTAAAATTCTGGCATATTATGATCTGTAGCCAAGTAAATGTGAATCTTATTGTTCTCTAATTCTCTTCTCACCAGGCGAATGATTTGACTACAGCGGATTTGAAAGGCTCTAAGGTGAGGCATCCTTTTCAACGGCTGTAAGCCGTTTGTTGCATCTCAAGTGAATGCGTGTGTGATGTCGAACCATGTATTATTTCATGAACGAATTTGGAATTATTTTGACTAACTTCCATTGAGCTCACTGCTTGTCATGGTACAGTGGCTCGTGCTGAGGTATGCAATATTTAACATTGAAGTTATTCAGGCAGCCATTAAAATTGCTAAGCAAGAAGGTGTCTTTGTCTCGCTAGATCTGGCCAGTTTTGAGGTAATTTTACCTTTGGAAAACTTCAAAATATCCGAATATTAAATACGGGATTATGGGATAACTGTAAAAATTGTCTCTGAGGTTTCGAGTCACATTAAAAGAAAAGAAGCAAGATGGAAAAAAAGGCATTTTTCATAAAATTGCATATATCCTACTGACGTCTATAACTGTCATATATTATTACATACACAATCACCTCCGGTATGGCTTAGATGTCTCGTATTTCTCGAATATCAAAACATGGTGTAAAATCTTTTTAGGATCAGATTGAGATGAATAATAAGGGACACATTTACTCATAGATGTACTCTTGGTGAGTAAAAACTAATGATGAGGGGTAAATATTCGTAACTTCAAGAGAGAATTTTCGCTTTTTTGTAGTTAGGTCAAATTTCGCGTCGTTTCTGTAGTTAACCATATGAGATATCATTGACAAATAAGAAATCTATATACGTATATCAATCTTGGTGAAAAAAATGTACTAGACTGCTGCTGCTTTCTCTGGATTATTGAACTGTATTTTCTCCTAATATAGCAATCTTCTTATGGCAGATGGTGAGAAAGTTCAAGTTGCAACTCTTACAGTTACTTGAATCAGGGAGCATAGATCTTTGCTTTGCCAATGAGGATGAGGCTGCAGAGCTACTGAGGTAAAGTCGACTAAACTTATGTTGTAACATTTTTTTTTTTTTTCCTTTTATAAAGAGCTAAATGAAATTCAGATGATCTAATTGTGCATCGGTTATTGTTCTCTAGTGGTGAAGGCAAAGCCGATCCGGTGTCGGCTCTTGAATTTCTTGGGAAACACTGCCAATGGGCTGTAGTGACATTAGGCTCGAGGGGATGCATTGCAAAACACGGAAAAGAGGTCTATAGTATTGATATAACTTCCCCTTTTTCTTTTATCGGATGCAAGCATAATCATCGAGAGAGAAAATTTTGAAATCAGAAGCCGGCATATAAGTTTATTATTTTTAAAGCACTGCACATGGTAAGGTCACAAAACATGACAAATAGTGTCTTGTTTTAATTCATACTTGATAGCTTATATGGTTTATCCAATTAAAATACGAACGAAATATCTTCCAAAACTGCTCATAAACCGGTCACCTTTACTTTGTCTTGCAAAAAGTGCACCCTAAGGTTTCTGTTATTAGTTTAGACCCAAGTAATAACATCTGATTTTTTTTTTAACATTATATAACTTACAGTATGGATATTTTTATATAGGTTGCTCGTGTTCCAGCAATAGGGGAGTCGAAAGCAGTGGACGCAACAGGTGCAGGGGACCTATTTGCAAGCGGGTTTTTGTATGGACTTGTGAAGGGACTCTCCCTTGAGGAGTGCTGCAAGGTGGGGTCGTGCAGTGGTGGCTCGGTTACACGTTCTCTTGGGGGTGAGGTGACTCCCGACAACTGGCAGTGGATGTATAAACAACTGCAGACCAAAGGGCTTCCTGTCCCAGACCACAACAACCAGTACTTTGTGCGAGAGCTTTAACGATTTAATTGTATTTTTCTTTTTTAATAATTATTTGGACTGCTGATTCTGCTATTAATCATGTGGATGGAAGCATAAGGACAGTTATTTGAATGTCTGCATATTGGGGCAGTGCCTCTCCCCCCTCTCTCTCTGTCTCTCCTTGGTGTATGTGTGTGTCACAGTGTGTGTGTATTCAGTCGACGAGTGCTGCACGGTTAAAAGCCCGATATCTTAAAAGAAAACAAGAGTTTCCAAATTGCTACATCAAAGTCTTGTTTTGATATCCAGCTTCGTGATGAAAACAAGAGGTTCTACCGGTTTTTAACCGGTTGAAACGGTTCCTTACCGGTTTTGAGCCCCAACAGTACAATGCCTTCAACCGGACCGGTGTGCTAGCTGGTTCCTTGTCGAACCGGCCAGTCCGGTCCAGTTTTGAGAAGCTGGAAATCAATTGCCGAACCCCAAAAGCCGAAGTGAACATCTCAATGAGGCCTGATGAGCTTCAACGTCCCACATAATCCAAATCCCAATTCCCAAACCAATTCAACCAAAATAATTAATCTTAAACGCCCACAGATTATCATCATCATCATCGTCATAGTAAATATCTTGCCAATATTATCCGAAAAATACAAATGTAAATAAATCCACAGGCAAATCCCAGCTGATAGATAGATAGATGGAACATATTCCCACTTTCCCCCTCAACAACAGATTAAAACCAATTCCCTTCAGGCAATAACATCAGAAAACAACACAACTGAATTCCAACAAAAACCAAAAGAGAAAACTCATCAGATATCCATGGGAGCAGCAGCCCCCGTTCCCTGATCACCTGCCGCCTCTCCACCACTGGCCTCGGCCTCAGCCTCAGCCTCGTCTGCCGCCGGCTCCTCTCCAGCCACCTCAAACTCATCGACGAGCCCTTGTACAGTCTCCTGATCCAGCACGTGAAACGCCTCGCCCTTCCCAAGCACTGCAATCGTGCAAACGGAGCTCGACAGCTTCTCTCCCTGTAAGGTCTCGCGCAGCGCGAAGAGAGCATCTTTGATAAGGTCATCACGGGACGAGCCTGTAAAAGTCTCGAACTTGCGCTCGAGGTACGTCTTGGCAGCCTGGGACCTCGACCCGATTGCAAAAGCCTGGTATTCGAAATAGTTGCCACTCGGGCAGTTGTAGTAGAGGTGGGCCCCGGACTCGTCTAGGCCGCCCACCAGGAGGCCCACCCCGTATGGCCGCTTCCAGGACCGTTGTGTGCAGACCTGGAAATTTAATCGTTATTTTATTTTATTTATTGGTGATATGTTTTTTGGAGGGACTGAGACAAATTAAAATGAAGGGAACACTCGTAAGTAAAAAAATAGAACAAGTTCAGAAACATGAAGGCAAGATGGGTAAATCGAGAAATCAACATTCAATCATCCAGAAAATTTTTTGCACAGTTGATATTCCATCTAATCATTGATTTATTGCTTTCTAAAAGAAAAAACATCGCATTCATTCCTAATTAACCAGACCTCATCAGACTGAGCTATAGTACAAACTTTTCCTGGCGAACATTGAGAAACCACCAAAGTAGATAACTGATAATTTAGCCATCTTGTCTATAGAGATTAAAAATATGCTTTTGAAGATTTGAACAACATTTCTCCACTATAGCAATTTGCAATATGTATATAAAAGAGACTTCATTCTTTAATAAAACCCTTTTCACTAATCAAAACAAATTAGTTACATGTCTATGACAGGAAAAAAATAATCAAAACCAATGTGGGAGCTACAATGCAGTTCTTAATCGCGTTGTTCATTCCAAACAGAGAGACTGGATTTGTATTGTGTATTCACTCTTAGTTCAAAAAAATTAAACATAAATCACTATGTAAACTACATAAATACAGCAGAACAACTTCAGATTAAATGTTGACATGTCCACATTATAAGCAAACAGAAAAGAGCACGCAGTACCATGAAATAAGACTCAAGTGACATTTGATAGATAAACCTTATTTGCTACATATATGATTTATTGTTATCCCCAAATAGGTCAAGCAACAACTAATGTAGAGATACCCAGCAAAACATGGAATGAGCATCTAAGCCAACGTGAATAAACCTTGTCATCATAAACAAAAAGCCACAAAACTCAAAAAACTATGTACGAACTATGCCCAGTGCTTTACATTTTGGTTTCGAACAAAGTTATACCAAAACATTTAAGAACATTTCCCCATAATCACTATGCTTTAGAGTTTAGGTCAAATTGTCAGACAAGCTTTTACATGAGATCAATGAACTTTCTTTTAGGGTTCACTTTGAAAGAAACTTAGATGCAGGTTATAGCCATATAGTAGTCAACCCTACAAGGCAATCCTCTTGTTGGTCAAATCAACACGATACAGAATAGTCTTCTTGACTTCATCAATTAAGAACACAGAAAGTTTAAATATAGCCAGTCCTAACAGGATCTGTCTGAAATCCAGGGATAGCTTAATGATGTTTCTACTAGAGTCTAGACCTTCAGAATTTCTTATAAGAAACATTATTATTACCTTCTGGTACATAAATGCTACAACTAATAAACAAGCCATATAACAGCATATCATGAAATGAAAGCTTTCACCTAAGAATAAAATATGCTTCACATTAATCACTCATATGCACGCAACCCCTACAAGCCTCCTTACGCCAAAATGATAAGGCAAATTGATACAGAATATCAAGATTTCAACTTCATCTAATTCATTACTCTTCAAACTGACCAAGTTCAAGTCAGTCTTCTTTGTTATACTTGCCAATATTTTCCATTCTCGGTTTCAATATAAACTCTTATAAGCACAAATGCTCACAAACTGCACGCATCCAAAAATATATATCTCAATTTCAAAACTTCAATGGGCAACCTTTCATATAATAAATAGTAAAAAAAAAATAAAAATAAAAAACAAAGCATTTTTCTTATTCTAAAATACACTTGGTTGAAAGTTTTTGGAAACATCCCTCCACAAATTCCCATGCTAGTATCACTCAATCTAACCCCAAACTCTCTAGCATAGAATTTTCCCCAACTTTAATACAAACAATTAAATTTTTCAACAAATCACTTAAAAAATTTACTATAAATCCATATCAGGTTTCTTCTTCAGACTCTTTAACGAATTGTTCAAACTACTAGTCCACAATCTTGAACCCTAACTCTCAATTGTTCATAAAACTAGAATTGAAATTGATAGTATCAAAAACTAGTCAACCAAACACTACGAAATCAAACCTGAGCCTTGTCGGCCAGCTGAACAACAAGGCGGCCGACGGGGAGCGGCGACTCGTAGGTATAGGAATAATTAATGCACTCATTCCTCATGTATCTGGAAAGCACTCGGCCGTCCGCCGTGAGGCCGGCGATGGCGACGCCGATGTGGTCGTCGACCTTGAAGATCTTCTTCTGGTAGGAGGAGAGCTCCGAGCTGGCCTTGTTGACGCTGGCGAGCACCACGTGGGTCTTCGATCTCAGCCCAATCGCCGCGGAGCCCTGCTTCACCGCCTCCATCGCGTACTCCACTTGGAACAGCCGCCCCGCCGGCGACCACGTCGTCACGTCGGTGTCGTATTGATTTCTGAACATTTTGTAAACTCGGCTTCTCGAAATTACAGAGATGGGTGCAGTGATTTGTGTCTGCCTCTCTCAGTGTTTCAGTATCAGAGGAGAAAAAAGGGGGTTCGCTTTAGCTTTTTTCTCAAGACAAGAGTATGTAGAGAAATTATGGGCCAGAAATTTTGGGTCTGGGTCGATGTGGATACTCATAATTGGGCTTTTCGATTGTAGTATGGGCTTTATATTGTAGTATGGGCTTTTCTATTGCCGTCGGTTACCCACTCCTTTAGTGACTCGTAGAGCCACGGCTCCGGCCAGCCACAGATAGTCTATCTTTGTAGTCGCTGTCGATTTTGGGTTAAGGTGCGTAGAAGAAAAAATATTTGAAAAAACAAAGCGAAATGTTGGAGGTTTGGTTATGTGCAAAAGAAGTATGATAAGAAAGAAAAAGGAAGAAGATAGTGTGAATAAAAGTATCTCATGTAATATTATTAATATTATTTACCAAATTTTTAATAAGGGGAGTAATTTTCTCTGTATTGTTCGTTGTAGCTACAGTAATCCAAGAGGTCTTCTAAATGTCTATATATATATATATATATATATATAATTGCTAGCATATGAACATTAAATTAAACCTATTAAATTTTACATAGCTGGCATTTCTAAGCATTTTCTCGCCTAAACCGTTACTATTCACTATTACTAGTACAGATCCCGTGCGATGCACAGGGTGCACAAAATTAAGGTCATTTATCAAATCTTATAATTATATAAATGAATAAAGAAAAATGTACGGGATATATATAGTACGTGACCGGTAATAGGCCAAAATGTGAACACGGGTGATGCACGGAGTGCACGATTTTAAGGTCATTTATTAGTACAGAGTTCGTGCGATGCACTGGGTGCACAATTTTCTAGTATGAGTAATACAAATACATACCGTATGCACGGGACAGAAGCAATAAATGAGTTATTTCCACAGAGCTTGCCCGTTAAGTAGCTCCTGGACACGGGTGCACAATTTGTAGTACGTACTATAAAATAAGAACAAATTTCCATACAATTAGATAATAAATTAGATAATAAATAAAGCTTTTTTTATTTAGTAAAGATTTTACGTACTTTTTTTTAATTATCTAATATTATGAGATTTTTTTTGTTAAACCGATTTGATGGGATATAATACAAATACAATTAGAGGATTGAACAAAATCAGAATAGATTTCTATACAATTAGATAATAAGAAGGAATTAGATAAAGAAAAGAAGAAATTAGATAAAAAAATTTGAATCTACATTTTTTTTAGTATAGATAGACTTTACGTACAAATTTTGACTTCACCGATTTTATGAGATTTGTTTTGACAAAATCAAAGACGAACACTGAAAAATGTTTCTATTAACATTTACAATGTGTATTTAATGTTTTTATTTTGGCAAATTATACTTTTTAAGTGTGATATATAAATATTAAAAATACTTAAAATATTTTATAACATCTATAAAAGCATCTAAAATATTATATATTATTCACAAATATTGTTTGAAGTTACCTAAATTTTTGTAAACTACCCGTAAGGAAAAATATGTTTAAAAATTCTTCATTTAACCTCCATATATGTATATATAGAGAGAGCAAATGTGTAAAAAAATTTATACAAATAATATTTAAAAGTATCTTAAATATTAGTAATTAGACAGGTGAAATTTAGATTTTTAAAAAATCTATATAGATAATGGATTTATAGTAGTAATTAGACTTTTCTTTATTTACCTTTAAAGTTGTTACGATAGATGAGGGATGTGATTTTTTTTGACTCATGGAGATGGAATTTTATAAGCTAGTTTATGAAATTTTTTTAAACTCGTCCATATCTATGCGATGAGTTTTTTAAGCTGGTTATATAAACTTAAAATTGTAAAAAAAAAAAAAAAAAAA